AGATATATTTGCTAACATCATCAGTGAAGTGTTTAATCAGGTTTTATACACCATAGGCCCTTACTGTCTTTTAAATGACTAATTAACTATCGACTGATTAAGAAATTTTGAAAAGAAAGTGTCACTACTATGTACTTTTTGGGACAAATTATCCCATATCTCTACTAAATTCTGTTGAATAAGGCCCAAACTTTCAGAAATTCTTCATACATGCCTTACTGGTGTATTAACAATGTTTCATTATAATTGCAACAACCTCAAATAAGATATTAAATAGTTTCAAGCATATGGTCAAACTAAAGTTTACTGACTCACCACTTTTGAGCCTGCTTTGCAAGGGTTCACAAACTTTTTTTTACATGCCTTGGGGTCCTCAACAGGAATCTAAAGTCAAATTGAACCTAGGTGTTTTACTATGATTTACTCGTGATATGATTTTAATCCACTTAGACTGTGGACTACTCTGATAATTGTAACTTCTACTTTTCATGGAAAATTCCAACATATTTCAAACAGTCTGTATGATTATGCTGGGTACTTCATGTAGGGGTGGCAGACGGCCCTCGGGCCAATTTATACCCCCACCACAAGAAAACCTTGGGGGTACTTTAATACCACCTCATAAAAAGAATACTAATGCATGTCATACATTCATAGTTTTATTGTAGGCAGGGCATACCATTGTTAGTCAGTGCCAGAAATATCCAATCTCTAACTTATATGGTTACCATGGAAACAGTATTTATGATTCATATGCTCATTTAGCTGTAAGTTACTTGCTTGTTGCATAACAAATGGTAACAAAATAGATATGTTTGTTGCGGTTAATTTATTAGCACTTTATATATGTGCAAAGAAAACATATTGTACATGTTATGCAAGTTGGGCCAAAAAACTGAGGGACCAATTTGACCTCCTCCCAAATATGTCCCTTAGCCCTCAAAGTGAAATATTTGCAAATTTGTTTGGATTTTGTGGCTACCACTTTGTCAAAAGTTGTATAAATATGTATATATTCACACTAAAGCACTAAAAAGTTGATATAATGCTCCAATTAATCAATAATATTTATCAAATATAGTCACACACAACTACTTTTAGGGAAAATTGGGCGTGGCACTTTTTGGTACTTGTGTAATTGTTGCAGCATTAAGTGAAAAATACATATTACACTAACAACAATTGACATTTAATTTTCATCTACTAACATTGTGTAGCACTGTAATATGTTCCTTATCAATATTAGATACTTGAGATATTTTATGTAAGTGTCTTTTCATCCCTATACCATACAAGGTGGGCATCACCCATGGTGTCAAACTAACTTTTCTGTTTTATTTTTTACCATAGACAGGGGAAAAGCTTACTTGAAGAAGTGACCTCATTAGGTGCTATGTATATGGATAGATGGATTGATACTGTACTAGTAGGTAGATGGCAGCACTTGTGCTAGTTGGGCTAGATACTAGTATTTACCATTGACTTGACATGTGTCACTTAGCCTATTGATTTACCATATTCATTCTGTTGGATTAAGGTAAAACTGCATTTGCATCGAATTTGTTGATTTTCAGATTGTGTTTGAAACTTGAGGATAATCAGATTGTGTTTTAAACTGGATGTTGTTCAGATTGTGTATACATGAACTTAAAAAGGACTACTGAAACAATAAGTCAATGTTTAAGATTCGTTAAAATTATCTCAATGAGAATTTAGCCCGTTAACCTATAGTTAAACTATACTTCAGCAAGATTTCAAAGCTCATCATTTGCAACTTTTTCATTATTTCAGTGATAATTTAACCCATTATTCTTTACTGATTTAAAAATTGCAAGGAATTCAAATGACCTAGGGAAGCCAGTGATACGAATTGGCCTTATTCATTGAGTTACAGTAAAATGGAATATTGTGAAGAACAAGAGAACTGTTCCACAGCTTCACAGGAAATATGGGATCAAAGTCAACAAGGGATGTGGGAACTAGGCTGTTCACATAGAGAGATTTAGAACTCTCAAGGGAAGTGTCTCTATTTGGTATAGGTAAAAATACACAGGTCTATTCATGCACACCATTTTAAAATGAATCAAAATTAGTGATATCCATGTTTCTGGTAAAAGCATCAACTGAAAGAGACAAACATCCTACTCCTATGGAATAAAATATAAGGAAGTTCGAAGCAGTAAAAAGGTATTATCATTCTAGATTTGATAGAATAAATTGAATCAGAGGCAAATTTTAAATTTCGATATATTAAAAGAGGCTCTTTTGATTAGATGGGAGAATTAGCTGCATGTTAAAGGTGGCGCTTTGCTCAGTTTATAACAAAATTGATATTTAGCCCGAAACAGCTGTAAGAAATATTAAGCAAATATTTCATTCTAAGGAAGGCAATACCTGTTCATCTTTCAATGATTTTTGCAATATGTATTGCCAGCAGCCCATAGGGTGAGGGGAAGCCAGACAGAGAATCATTGCATAGATAGAAAGATTTGATAGAGAAAATGGAGTTTTGGTGTTGGGGAGGGCAGGTAATTGTATAATTGTTCATGTAACTATGGCAGCCATCATTTTATAAAATTGATAAAATGACATATTCTAGACAAGGATAGGCATTTGCCATCATAAACTATGAGGGATTATGACCCATAAACTTAACTATGGAAATTTGGGGTAGTAATATGGAACATACGTTATATGGAAACTGTAACCTTATAAGATCTTGTCCAATTTCAGTCATACCTGATTATAAAGGACCATTGATGTTACTACAGCATAAGGGCATATTGCGTTTAATATTAAATGACCATCATTTCTACTGTGCCAAAATCATTCAACCAATTTTAAAATGGAATACGAGAACCAGATTTCTTATTTTATATTCATATGTCTAATAATAATTGATATTATTATATTTAACATATTTACTTTAAATTATACACTTAACAGATTTGTTTAGATATTACTTTAAGTTTTAACATAACAAACAAATATCCATATTGAAGGAATTACTGAAGGTACAGCATTTCAGAAATGTGTAAATTGTTTATATTTCATTATTTTGCGAAATACTAAAAGGAGTTATACCCGTAACCTAGTTAACCATGAGTCAAAGAATGCATCATTTAGTATCTGCAAAATGATGCAATATGCAATTCATACATGGAATAATATATTTTGCCATATCGGAATCAAGTATTATCTTTAATCCATTGGATAGAGCTTGCATTACCTGATGTTGATGTATTGATAATCAAATCAGTTAGTCAATTGTGAGACACCGTTTGTCCGAGAAAATAAGAAACCTTAGTTATATATTAAGGCAGTGCATAACATTTCACCTATTATTTATTTGTGTTTACTACATCCCCTTCACTAGTAAATATTACCTTCCCTTTTAAAGCTTTGTGAGATATCGTTGAACTGTGGCGCTCATGCATGATATATGAAAAAATTATCATACTCCATAGTTCTAATGTCATTTAAGCCTGATTTGGTACAAACGGCAAAGCATAACGTCAACTCTAAAGTAGTTTAATTCAATGAAAATTAAAAATATCAAAATCAACAATTACAGTGCGCCATCTTAGATGCGAAGGTTATGGCCATTACCTTCGCTTGGTACTGACCAGTGTCCTTGCTCTGTTACAAATTTTCATTGCCCTCTGTTTGTAACCCCTCCCCCCTTCTTGATAAAAGCCATGAATAAGAGGATGATTTTGAGGTATTATGTTTTATGATTAATGAGTTCATATAACTTAATCCAAGTCTTAACTGTTTTTTCACACCAGCATGAGATAACATCATACTCAAAGGATGGAACGGTTCATTACTTTTCAATTGCATAAAATGGCTAAATGATACCTTGACAAATGTATTAATCAATTTTAACCTATAGCTCTTGATCAATGGAACCATTCATATTCTAGGTACAATTCAATGAATACGACTTTGACAAACAAAAAAGACTAAGGACCTCTAGGACTTAGACTAAAAGTTAATTTGACCATTGATGACCTATGATAGGGAAGGGTCATGATAACACTTATATAAAATATTTAAAGTATCTAATAATGATAATGAACATATTACAATGTTACACAATGTTGGTAGATGCTAATTAAATGTCAATTGTTGTTAGTGTAATATGTATTTTTCATTTAATGCTGCAACAATTACACAAGTACCATAAAAGTGCCACGCCCACTTTTCCCCAAACGCAGTTGTGTGTGACTACATTTGATAAATATTATTCATTTTTGGGATAGTTTAATATAGATTTTAGTGCTTTAGTGTGAATACATACATACGAATTCAACTTTTGACAAAGTAGCAGCCACAAAATCCAAACAAATTTGCAAATATTTCACTTTGAGAACTAAAGGACACATTTGGGACGGGGTCAAATTGAGAAGATTGTGAGATATAAATACTGTTTCCTTGGTAACCATATAAGTCAGAGATTGGAAATTTCTGGCACTGACTAACCATGGCATGCCCTACCCACTATAAAGCAATGAATATCTGATATGCATAAGTATTATTTTTATTGGGTGGTATTAAAGTACCCCCAAGGTTTTGTTGGGGAAGGGGTATAAATTGGCCTGAGGGCCTTCTGCCACCCCTACATGAAGTCCAACTACCCAGAAAGTGTCCAGCACAATCATACAGATTGTTTGAAATATGTTGGAATGTGTGACCTTTCATGAAAAGCAGAATGCATTTCTAGAGCACTTCTACAGAATAGTCCATAGTCTAACTCATGGATATTGATATCTGCACGAGCGAGCGTAGCGAGAGAGTATCCATTCGTGGATAAAAATCATATCACACATAAATCATAGGATATATTCTCTATATATCAATACATTGTATTTATAATCAACTTTATCAACTTTTTTTATTAACAACTACTGAAATTGTTTCCTATATCAATCGTTTATGTTATTAAAACTCTCTAGTAGCATAACATGCAAAATCATAGCCAGACTATAAGTGTTCCGCTTTGCTGCAATGTCATTACATGACAGTGATACATATGCACTGGAAAACAAAATTGATTTCTTGTACCAATACAAAACAGTTTATAATTAGAACATGATATGTGTGTCCTACAAGCGTGTATCAAATTATATATATATACACGTATATGATATATAACGTAGTTATTGAGGCGTTTCTAAGGAAAGCTACGTAAGTATTTCAGTCTTGAGCTAAACTTAGAAGTAAACGTTATTATCTGTCCAGTAGTTTGATATGACCTGACCACCCGGTCTTAGTTCCACTTCACCCTCACTACGTCGCCTTGCACGTTTGTTATTCAAAGGGGCCTTTCCTGCAGGGTTTGTTTGAATTGGCCATTTATCATCTACGTTCGACAGTCGATGATCATTTGAATCCTGCAGATATCTCGGCTTCAATCCTCTTAACATTTCTTTTCGGTCGTGCATATACTGCAGTTGTGATTGAGACACGTTCGTCCTGTCAGGCAACACTGGAGACATTGCTTGCTGTTGGGCCATTCCCGTTCGGATATTTCTTGTAATTGTCCTCAAAGCACCTGCACTACTGGGCCACACGTCGTCAACGTTATCAGTGGTAGAAAAAGGAGATGAACAGAGCATAGGGTTGTCTAAACTAAATCTTCGCTGATAGACGTCGCTCATTTGTATGCTGTTTGAATTGAAATCCGCTGCATTGTAAGCACGAGTTTGTTGTTGCTAAAGTAAATATTACATGCAGTTAGTTATAAAATATTTAATAAAGTCTCACATTATTTACATTATACTGCTAAAATATTATACAATAAATAACATCCAGAATCCACAGTAAAGCGATATCATAAAACATATTCAGACAATGCAAAACTCATCCCCGGGGCAACCCATCCCCTAGACAACTCATCCCCTAGACGACCCATCCTTTGGCATGTTTGAGTAATTTATGCTATAACAAAATATTGATTCATACAAATGATTTTTAAATGCTTTGATTATAAATTTGATCGATTCTTAGTTTCAAAAACATATAATAAATGAACAAAGACTTTATGAAGGGGAAATCTGGAATATTGTCCAAAACTATGATAATCAACCAATTAATCTAAGATTTGTTTTGTGAATATTTACTTTTAAGTTTGCTTTTAATTCACAATTTCAATATAATATTATAGTTTATTGAAGAAGCTTCGTTGATGTCATAATATGTTTGCTGTTCATAGCTGCTCATAGTTGACAGGTGGATGAGCTGTCTAGGGGATGAGTTGTCCATAAGCCCATTGAGGAGCCGTCTGTGTCGGTTATAATAGCAATACCCCAGTCACATTTGTCGTACGGAGGCCGTGCGTCGACCGCAGATCTATTAAATCAGTGTATTTCTGCGTCGAGCGTAGGAAAACTACGCTCGCCTTGCGGCCTCCGTATGGCGTATCCAGTTTTTTACAGGCCGCAGAGTCGCCGTAGAAATTATAACTCGAGAGTTATAATATTTGTTCATTTCTGAGGTCCCCTAGAAATCAATTGGTTCAACAAGATTGAATCATTATTTGTCAATGTTTCACGATCACTTTTCATTTGATATTACATCCTAGCACTATGAATAACATTTATAAATTGTCCCGATGTAAATAAAATGAAGAAAGAATTATTTATCAACATAAATTTAAAATTCACCGTGCGGCCGGCGTGGGAAATGTGACTGCAAAAGTATGAGAGCGCAGAAATTCCACGACGAGCGTAGAAATGTTACTGGCCGCGGAAATGATACACCGCAAGGTCGCCGTAGGAAATGTGACTGGAGTGTTAGGTTCCTGAACAGGTATGCACAAGTGTCAACGTGCCAAAGAGAAAGGACAAAAAGTAATTACAGAACACAACAACAAAAAGAAAACATTTAAGAGTACACTAATCATACGGAAAACAACCACAAACTATCAAAAACCATGATCTAAAATGAAAATAAACAATAGTTTATACTATTTCCAGTACCTTTATAAAGAAAGTAAAGAAAGCTATTTGAAGCTGATTTACCCTTTTCTTAGCCTTAGTTTTCTTGCATTTCCAAATGATCACAGTGGCTATGATTATGACCACTATAGTGACACCAAGACCAACGATGAGCCATGCCCACCATGGATATCCAGCGCAGGCGGTATTGGGATCACAATAGCACACAAATGAGTCCACTTCGTCGATACACGTGTAGTCGGCTTGACACGGGGATGACAAACATTCGTTTATATTCATCTCACAGTAAAACCCCGAAAAACCTAATAAATCGAATTAATCAAGTTATTAGCTGCCCTACTCAAGGAAATTTCGGGAGTTTACCAAATATGTTACTCACATCTTTCGCGAATATAAAATACAGGGTGGGCTATAACTTTTTTAATTTTTGATACAAAAACATAATTTGCATACCAAATGAAACTTGAGGTTGTTATATCTAGCCATGGATCATGAATTATACACTTTTACTTAAATAAAATATGTCACCGGTGTCTCACTTAAACATGTGGTGTGCCATGAGAAATAAGCATAATTTGCAAAATGTTCCTGAACTGATACGGCCTGATGATCACCAAGCTAATAGCTCTGATGCAAACCCCATTGCGTATAGGGTATGGGAAGGTTTCCAGGAGATTGAATAAAGGCACCCAATCTAGAAAACTGCTCAACTAAAGCTGGCAATCAAGACAGGTTGAAAAAAACTTAGCTAACATTTCATTGATACTGCTATATCAGCAAGGTGAGTAAAACTATCATCAAATAGTGTGGCGGACCAATTGAACTCCTCTTTTAGATTAAATATAATCCGAGTTGAAGGACTTGTTACACTATAAAATTACTAAGAACCCCTGGCACTATTTAACTGCAAATTTGGGGTATGTAGGTTGGAAAATAAAGAAGTTGTAGTGTCTTGGAAAAAGTGGCGTTTTTTGGCCCACCCTGTAGTATAGTATTTCGATTCTAGTCCATGCTTGCCTAGCAAGTTCTATTTCTTGGGGATACAAGTATTTGGCAAAATATGTACAAAAGAAGTGTAGCACAAGTAGCGTGGAGCTATATTATTTAGATGATGTTACCCAGTATTTGCTCATCTTCATATTCTACTGGGTAAAGTTACCTGGTTTGCAATCACAACTGTAGCCATCGAATCCAATGCTTCTGTTGGTGCTCGTGCAATATTTATCATTCACAGCGTCGCCATTACAGGCAGCATTATTCTGACACCTGTTCTCGAGGACGTATATGTTAATATCTAATGGGTCAGAACGGGCACCATGATCATCTTCAGCCATTACCTGAAACACATCTTTTCCAAAGAAGTCCTTATTTGGAGTGTAAGTTACTAAGTAGAACAGCCAGCTTATTTGTTCAGCGGGTAATGGGAGTTTAGGAAAATTGCAAGGGTAAGGTATAGTTGTTTCAAAATCGCTGAATAGTTTGTCCCAGTAACGAAGTATTTCCTGGTCATATTGATCAGAGCAGTTTACTTCTTTGAACGTGAAATTAGTGATTGGATCTGAGAATGCAATGGTGCCATTAGTTGTATTGACTGTCGAGAATCTCAGATTATCGTGTACATCGTAGTCGTGGGCTGATAGAATCAGTTTCAGACTTTCGATTTGACTCGTTGATTGTTGCATTGTGAACTCCAAACCATAGTTTGGAACTGGGTCCTTGTAGGCTCCATCATGTATTATAGCAGTAATCGGGTTGTCATTCTGTTGTTCAATGTTTACAGTGATAGTTCCATATGTTTTTAATACCTGTTCGGTATCTGTTCTTTCCTCTTGGACGATAAAGTGCACCGAATCTGAGCCGTAATGATGCGGGAATCCATTGTAGATAAAAGTTCCATCTCGCTCAATTTTAACAATTCCTAAAACAGGATTTGGCTTTGCGTTGTCTATTAAGAACACAAATGGATCCCCCTCTTCGTCCACAGCTTCCAATTTGAATGTATATATCTGATCCGCGTCTTCTGTTATGTTCATTTGATTGGTTGATGTAATACGTGGACGCGTATTCACATAAGCAGCACTGACCTCACTTAGGGCAAACTGGGTTTCACCACCATAACTTGTTGTTTCCCGTTTATGTCTCTTAGTGGACATAGCATAATCTGAACACACGTGAAACGTAATGATTCCATCCTCGGGTATTGTACCAGCGCCATTACAGTTCGTATTCACGTTCCTCCATATCATTAGCTCTAAAAAAACAAAAACTAGCATTGTTTTCTTCAACAATACAGTTATTTTATTGTTTGTTTGTAAATCGAATGCTCAAATGGACATGTCTATTGAATCAATTTTTTGTAATGGTTTCATTGTTTATCGAAAAGCTACAAGTGGTTACAAAATCTTTGAGAAATGTCATGTTTTCAGATCTGACGTCTCATTTTTGGGGTAATTTTACATAATCTTTGCATTTTATTTTGTATCACAATTTGCTTGGTCTTCCATATATACCGTATGCAATATTATTCACGGTTCAAAGCATAACGTACGACGTAAAGCTATCTAACATCTGTCGATACAAATTACCTGCGTCCCAAAATATGAGAGTAAGGCTGCTTGTGGAAAAGTCAACGCTTGGTGCTGATATAACCACAGTTAAAAACCCATCTAAATCGCCGTCCAACGTATTGACAAAGAAACTTATACCACTCCATTTTTCCAATCTTAAACATAAATTTGTTTATTTAGCATGCACATATACCACTACCTTTGTCCAATGGTATTTACATCTATCTATTTAGCAGTCACTTATACCACTCCATTTTCTTAATCTTAAATAAATCAATCAATAAATTTAGCAGTCACGTGTACCACTCCGTTTTTCCAATTTTAAGTGTAATATTTTTATTAAGAAGCAAATCATACCCCTCCATTTTCAACATCCCAAGTATACGTTTCTTTTACCTTGCAGTTACTTATACCACTGATTTTCTCAAAAAATTAATCTATTTATTTAGCAGTTGCTTAAACCACTACATTGTTTAACATCTTAAATATAAATATAGCAGTCATGTAAACTACTACCCTTTTCTTATATATAGATATATTATATTATTCAGCAGTCACGTATACAACCCCTCTTTAATTTCCTACCCTAATATTAAATATGAATCTAAATATTTAGCAGTCACTTAATCATACCTCTAATGTTTCAAAATCTATTTGTTTAGCAATCACGCATATCGCACATTTTCCCGAATCTTATATATAAATCTGTTTATTAAGTCACGTTTGGCACTCCATTTTCCTAATCTTAAATACAAATCTACGTATTTAGCACTCACATATACATGTAGCACCATATTTTCCCAATCTTAAATTAAAATATATTTATTTAGCTGTCAATTATACCACTCCATTTTCAATCTTAAATATAAATCTATTTATTTAGCAGTCACGTATACAATCATTCAGTTTCCAAATCGAATTCATTTAGCAATTATTTATATCACACCATTTTCAAAATCTTAAAGAAATATAATTATATCTGTTAAGCAGTCTTATACTACTCCATTTTCCAAATATTAAATATAAATCTATTTATTTAGCAGTCACTTATACCACCCCCTTTTCAAATTCTAAATATAATTTATATCCTAAATATAAATCTATCCATTTATCAGGAACTTATATCATTCTGTTTTCCAAATCTTAAATATAAACTAATTCAGTTTCTTATACCACACTATTTTCCAAATCTAGAATATATAGATATATTTATTTACCAGTCAATCCTATCAATCCGTTTTAGATCTTTAATACAATCTAATTTAGTAAGCAGTTAGTTGCTTATACCACACCTCTTTCCCAATCCACTCCGTTTTCCGAGTCGTAAATATAAACTTATTCATTTAGCAGTTACTTAGACCACTTCATTCCCCAAAACTTAAATTTAACTCTATTTATTTAGCAGTCAGTCACCTCGATGTTTTTAATTCACTCGCTATGGCTCAGTGGCAGAGTCAAGGTTACCACTATCCCTTGGCCCAGGGTTCGATTCCCGGTTCAGACAAGTTAGTTTGTGCGTTATGTAATTCTGGGTGTTTCACTGAGTGGTACACGACTCGTATAAAAGGCTGTGGCGTGTAATTTTATGTATAGGTACAGGTGCACAAAAAATAAAACAGGGCTCCTCCTAGTAGGGGTTTCTGGCTCTGTCTTCGAGTGTAAAATACGTAATAGAAATACCAAATACAAGGGGCGATCAACAAATAACCCTAATAGAACCCTATCTCAGAAACTAATTAGAGTTAAAACACCAAATTTCATACATCGTATCACCAACCATTAATTATCATTTCCACAAAATCTGAGGCACAAATTTGACTTTATGTTGGAGTTACAGTTGCCATAGCAATCTGTAGTATGGGCACCTGAAGCAGGTCGTGAGTCATAACAATAAGGTATTGAACATCTGTCCAAAATCAGTTTGAGCGACACTGTTAAGTCCTACAAAATTGATGTATGTGGATGTACATCAATTTTAAAAAATGTCTGTTAGTTGATGTGCTCTACTTTAAATTGTGATGTCATTAAACCTACCCAACAAAAGGTTTGTCATTATACATGTCGATAACCAACAACAGAATGACAGAAGACATAGGTATTGAGGAAATCAAAGTCAATTAAAGTCAGCCATGCTTAAAAATGGTTGAATTGAAAACTTCGGCTCTCCATAGAAGACAGAGAGAACTGAAATAATGCTGTATTTTGAATGAAATGTCACGGCAAAAAACTTATGAGATGCTAAAGAAATCATTTGGTGATGAAAATGGACTAAGCAATGTCTACAGATGTAACAGCACAGAACGATTTCTTAAAAAGCCAAGAAGATCCGCTGAGGATGCTTCACGTATAGGTGCTCGAAATTCAACACTTACAGCAGATATGATAAACAAGTAGAGCAGCTGGTTATGGTTGATAAAACTATCACTATTTAATATGAACTGGGCATTAGTTATGAGCATGAAAAATGATTATTAAAAAATTGTGACATCATACATTTGAGGTCCTTCAGGTGTCCATGACTTAGGTTGCTGTTTAGACCTGCTTTGGGTACCCATACCACAGGTTACTATGGTTACTGTAACTTTGGTGTTTGTGACTGACATTTTCTTGAAACATTAATGAATGCTAGGTGATACTAGTATCTGAGATAGGGCTCTATTTGCATTATTTGTTGATCATCCCTTGTATACCAATGAGGGATTGCTCGCCAAATGTGGCGGTAACCAAGATACAATACAAAACAATCACTCCGTTTTTCAAATCCTAAATATTAACTAGTCAAGTAAGACCCCAGTCACATTTATCGCACGGCGGCCGTAAGTCGACCGCTGATCAATTAAATCGGTGAATGCGGCGAGCGAGGAAAACTACGGGCGCCTTGCGGTCTCCGTACGGCGTATGCAGGTTTTTACAGGCCGCAGGAAAGGCGTGGAAATTATAACTTGGAGTGCCCGTAGAAATCAACTGGCTCAACAAGATTGAATTATTATTTTCAATGTTTCACGATCACTTTTCATTTGATATTACATCCTATCACTATGAATAACATCTATAAATTGTCCTGATGTAAATGAAATGAAAAAATGTATTATTTATCAACAGAAATTAAAAATTCGCCTTGCGGCTGCCGTTGGAAATGTGACTGCAAAAGTATGAGAGCGCAGAAATTCTACGGCGAGCGTAGAAAAGCTACTGACCGCAGAAATAATAGACCGCAAGGCGGCCGTGGGAAATGTGACTGGGGTGTTAGCAAATCAGAGACACAAATCTATTATTTAGCAGTTACTTAAACCACTCCATTTCACCACTTCATAAATATTAACTTATTAATTTTGCAGTTCAAATCTTAGGTATAAACGCACTTATATAGCAGTCACTTACACTCCTTTCTTCAAACCTTAAAAACAATTAATATATTTATTTTATTAGTCACTTTTACCACTTCATTTTCCCAATCTTATACATAAATCTATTTAACTTAAGTTTCCTTCATTTGATTCCAATATGTACACGTACAATGTCGTTCAATAAGTTCACGGAAAAAACGTTCTCATTTCAAGGATTTTTTATATTTTCACATGAAATTTTCACACAATGTATAAAAAATACTTTCTGATTGATTCTTAAAATATCAGCATCTCTCATTTGATTGGTCAAAAATAAGGGTTACTATGGCAACTTGATTTTTGGGTAGGCGGGGCACTTTTTACGTCACATTATTCATTAGAAAAACAACAGAATAGTAGGCAATTTATGAGTATATCACGTGAATTTCTCCTCCGCTTTCTACTTGTACATAATATTACTTAATGTAATAATAGTAACAACTATCGTCCCATTAGGTTTTAGAAATATTCTCCCTCATGTTTAGTGCACAGTAGGTTGCATTCAAGCCATTGATCATGACGAGACAATGCTCTGAAGCCATCTCGAAAACGTGTTTGAAGGGCAATCTGGACTGCAGTCGAAAGTAGTTTCATTGTTTCATATAGTGCACCTCATAGTTGATCCTTATTCCTAGTGAAAACAGCAAAATCAAAGTTGTCTCATATGGAGAGTATGTAACTTTGGGCAGCTTTGCCATCTATTTTGCCAGTTATTTGTGATGGTTTCTGCACAATATTAGCAGTGTGATCGGCTGCATTATTCTGATGGAAAAATTTAAAGTTCGGCTGAATGGAAGTTTTAATCAACTTACCATAGCATTACTTTTTTGATTTTTTGGCCCACTGGTACAGCATTGACTAGCACGATTTCAGAAATGTTCGTGAAAACAATCAATTTTCCCTCAAAAATTTGTAATTTGAATAAGAACAAATAAAAGATAAGGATCCTATCTTTGCACATATTGATAGATTTCTGTAATGGTAAATTGTGTGAACGTAAAAAGTGCCCCGCCTACCCAAAAGTCAAGTTACAATAGTAACCCTTATTTTGACCAATCTAATTAGAGATGCTGTTATTTTAAGAATCGATCATAAAGTATCTTTTAAACATTGTGTAAAAATTATATGGGAAAATATCAAGAATCTTTGAAATGAGAGCATTTTTCTATGAACTTATTGAACGACCGGGTATATCAAAATTCGTACATGTCGTACATGTAAGCTTTGAATAGGCAATATGAAGTGAACAATCTTAACATATTAATGTTAATTTATCCATTCAAATGACGTCAAAGTGATTTTAGTTTTCATTTGCAGAGTAACATATTTTAAGTGTATATAGGGGGTCTCACCTTTTCCTAAGATATCGGTTTGTTTTATTACTTGTAGTCCTTGGATTCACTACATATGGTTTAAAGTCTACCGAACCATCCGAGATATACTCCTCTTGTACATCATTTTCATTCAAAGTTCCACACGCCAGTAGCCTGTCAGCCTGGGCACCGTAGGCGTGAATACTTACGACTGCATCTGATAAGTCAATGGAAAGTTCGCATCCTTCGTCAGCAGGCTTGATTATATCTGAAGATCTCATGACTATCTGTTTTGATGAGGCAACCACGGAACACACATCACCGGATTGACATACCTCAATGTTTGCATGTATGGTTCTAAAAATGTTACCTATATAAGACACGAGCAATACTATTCTCCCGATATTTGTTGGTATATGATGGTGTAAACCTCATTTTCCTGGAATTTGATTGCCTTCACAGGATTACTAAATCTGCGAGTATTCATAAAAGACACAAACACAGCCCAGAGGTACTTTATTTGAACATTGGGCAAAAAATGATGATTTCTAATGATGTGATTGATCACACACCGATGCAGAAAATATTCTGCTGAAATATTACCTTCCTGGTTCCATACGGAATCTATTCTTCACAACGGTGTTAGGGCCAAAAACTCCGTTAGCATCAGATAAATCGATTCTCCCGTATGGGTCCATTATTATCACACCATCTTCAACCTTCACGGATCCAATCTCAAATCCCCCTTTTGTTTCTCTCGGAGCGATTGCGACTTTGGAAATGATGTCATCATGCGACTGTGCAGACGACCCCACAGAGAAATCTAAATGGATTTGATTCTTTATTATGAACAAAGTTCGTAGGGATATAGAAAAGCATTCCGTCCGTCCGTTCGTATGTCTGTCCGTCAGTTCGTTTGTCCGGGCGATAACTGAATTACTGATTGACGGATTTGATGCAACATTTATAACTCTATGTTTTATTGGTGTAGGACCTCTTTTCGAGAGGGAATTTTTAATATGGCCACTCAATTCAAAATGGCTGCAATTTTTGAAAAAATTTAGTCGTTGTTAACTCAAATATTATTTGACGGAATTGGTTCAAATTGTAAATGTGATGCCTGGGGACAAAGAAGACATTTTCAAGATGGCTACTGAATTAGAAAATGGCCGCCATTTTTCGTGAAAAGGTAAGTTTTGATAAATCAAATAACAGTGAACGGATTTTGTTAAAATGTTATATGCTGATGTCTAGGGACAAAGTTGCTTTGTTTGAGAAAGAATTTTCAATACGGCGGCTGAATTTCGAAATGCCCGCCTTTTTTTGTAAAACATGCAATCTTTGATGTCTAGGGGAACAATAGCTCTGTTCAAGAAAGAATTTTTAAGATGGCGACTGAAATTAAAATGGCCGCCATCTTTCATAAAATAATGTAGTCTTTGATAACTCAAATGCCAATTGACGGATTTGGTTCCAACTTTACTAGTTGATGCAAAGGGACAAATGAGCACTGCTTAAGAAGACATATTGAAGATGGACACTGAATTTCAAAATGACTGCCATTTATCGCAAAAAGCACAATCCTTGATAACTCAAATACCAGTGGACGAATATGATTCACATTTTATATATTGATGCTTGAGGACAGTCAAACTCTGCTCAAACTTAAGGACTGTCAAACTCTGCTCAAAAAGGAATTTCACGATGGAGGTTGAATTGCCGCCATTTTTTAAAAAAAACGTTCTCTTTGTTTTATCAAATACCGGTGGACGGATTTGGTTCTACTTGTTTATGTTAATGCTCAGAGATAAAGGATGTCTGTTCAAGAATACATTTTCAGGATGACCGCTTTTTATCAAAAATTTGTCAATTTGTCATTAAAAATCTAATTTTTGATAACTCAAGTATCAGTTGACAGATTTGGTTCAAATTTCACTTGCAACTACCTAAGAACAAAGGAGCCCTGCACAAGTAGAAATTCTCAAGATCGCAACTGAATTTTTTAAAATGGCCACCAATTTTCGGGAGATAATATAATCTTTTGTAACTAGAATACCAGTGGATGGATTAAGTTAAATTTTATAATATGCTCTGTTCAATTTATTTCAATTCAATTCAATTCAATTTATTTCATAATTCTTATATAATATACACTATAAAAACAAGCCGCTAGACACCCTAGTGGGTATATATTGCGGTTTAACAGAAATCATTAAAATGACAACTAGACTACATATAAAAGAAAACACTTATATTATGTTACATGTAGGTATATAAAAATGGTATTAACAATTAATCTAAGGATGTACAATGTAAAAATGTTATAAAAATCGGGTACCAGTATAAAATCAACAGTATAGTATGATATTGGTATTATACATTATCGATAGATGAGTAGTTTTTTATATGAAGATTTGAAAATATTTAGAGTGGAGCATTTTTTAATATCATATGGTAGAGCATTCCAAAGATTAGGACCCAGATAGCGAAGGGAAAGTTTAGAGCATTTAGGGATATGAAAATGATGCAATTGTCTTGTGTAATGATGATGAATATTAATGTTGATATCAAACAAGTCTTGAAATAGATTTTTTGGAAGACTGGGGTGCTTATTAAAGATTTTGTACATGAACTGACCAGTACAATATCTGTTGACATCAAAAATATTTAATATTCTAAGATCTTTAAATAGGGGAGCGGAGTGAGAAAGTCTATCCTTATTTAAAGCTAGCCTTAAAAATTGTTTCTGCAGTTTATGTAGACGATCATAAAATGATTTAAATGTGTTACCCCAGATTATGTTGCAATAATTTAATTGAGAGTGTATCAATGAGTAGTAAATTGTTTTGAAACTGTCTATTTGAAGTAGATGTTTAATGTGATAAAGAGAACCAATGACGCGAGAAATCTTTGTTTCAACAGATTTTATGTGTTCTTTAAATTTCAAGTTTTTATCAATAATAATTCCAAGAAAGTCAATTTTTTCCCGGAAATTTATGTTCTCATTGCGTATTTTAAGATTCAGATTTGTTTGATTTTTTGGGGGTCCAAATAGAATAGCATTGGTTTTGCCAATATTAAGTGAAAGTTTGTTTGCTTTTATCCAGTCATCTATTGAATTCAAGTTTGCATTAGTTCTAGTCATGAGTTCATTTAAATCATAATCACTATCAAGAAGATTGGTGTCATCAGCAAACATAATAAATTTTAGATAAGGGGCAACAAAAGGCAGATCATTTATGTAAAGAATAAATAATAGTGGTCCAAGTACCGAGCCCTGCGGAACACCACAATTTAGAGATGATTGTTTAGATTCATAATTGTTAATGGTGACATATTGTTTGCGGTCTTTTAAATAACTTTCAAGAAGAAATTTTCAAGATGGCCACTCACTATCAAAATATGTTTTGTTCGTTGGGATTTGCTACTCCGTGGAGTTGCTGTTGTTCTAGTTATATTATATCACAATCATACAGGGTGACAAAAAGTGTCACCCATATTATGTAATGATTTTGTCTGCAAAATGTCTGACTTGTTCTTGAGCACATTGAAACTTTACTTTATGTAGCAACTCCACAAGAGGTTTCAGGTGACTAGCTCAACCAGATGCACTTTTAAAAGCGCTACAAGATATGCTCTAAATGCCGTCTATCCCACGCACACTGCTGGATTCTCCGGGCAGTTATTGACAACATTCATCTGACTCAAACCCTCCAGGTTTTTATCTCTGGGGGTGCTAGAAAGATCTGTGAATGAAACATTCCCCTAATCCATAGAAGTTCCGAAGATATTGATCACTAAAAAGATGAGGGCCATTTCGGTGGAAAATGCTTTGCCTGTAGAATTCAGGTAAGCCTGATATTTAGACTACATATTGTAATGCTCATAAGCATGCTAGATAGGTATCAATTTAAATAATTCAAGTTTTTGAGGCAATTTAAAAAAAAGCAACAGACCTTTTTTCTAAATCGGTTTTAATGCCGATAAAGATATTAAATGATAGCAGCTCTATGGGATGGGCATGTCACTGAGTTTTAGCGTTTTTAACCCCCATAGCAAAATATTTTAGGGGGTACTATGATATTAGTTCATAACTCAAAGGATATATTAACTATTGTTCTGATATCTACAGTATACATTACTAGTACAGAGATAAATACTATCCCTAAGTTGTATGTTAATATCTTCATGGGTCTCAGAAAAAATACAATTAATAGGAAAAAGATTTGCAATTTTCTTCATTTTTTGTTTTGCCAATTTAACATTAGTATATCCAAGCAAAAGATGACACCTTTAACAGTTCAGAGTAGTATTCTAACAACATTTCCAAGCTATTTATGATATTGTAATACATCTATTGTAGTGATTAAGTACTATTTTGTAATTTTAATAAGACTTTTTAGTGCCCTACCCCTGAAAAATAGAAAAAATGTGCGTGGTCAGGGTGGAAAAGGGGTTCACTGTATACCAAAAATTGGTGGGGGTCCTAAGCGGAACCCCCATATATCAGTATGTTCCCATACGAATCTGTCAAATTTCAATGAGTTCCTATACCAACTAAATTAACACCCAAAAGCCATACCAGATATCTTATAGATATAAGACCAATATAGGACCAATGCCATGCCAGTCCAGATATAAGACCAATACCATACCAGTCCAGATATAAGAACAATACCATAGCAAATATCCAGATATAAGACCAATGCCATACCAGTCCAGATATAAAGCCAATGTCATGGCAAATGTCCAGATATAGGACGGATACCATACCAGTCAAGATATAAGACCAATGCCATAGCAAATGTCAAGATATATGACCAATGTCATACCAGCCCAGATATAAGACCAATGCCATAGCAAATGTCCAGATATAGGACCAATGCCATAGCAAATGTCCAGATATAGGACCAATCCCATACCACTCCAGATATAAGACCAATGCCGTTGCAAATATCCAGATAGAGGACCAATGTCATACAAAATGTCCAAATATAGGACCAATGCCATACATGTCCAGATATAAGACAAATGCCATTGCAAATGTCCAGATATAGGACCAATGTCATAGCAAATGCCCTGATATAAGGTCAATACCATAGCAAATGTCTTAATAAGACCAATGAGTTGTCAATTTTCTATCATAATTTCCAAACATGGTGGTTTGAAAGCCGATAGTTTACCATAATGTGAAGATACATATCCCATTAAACCTGCATATTTTATATTTTGCATTCTCTCATCCACTACTACTTGTATATGTCTTTTTAAAATTCTCTTTTTTCTAGCATGGAAAATCCTCACTTCAGCAAATGCATGACTGATTATTTTTTTGCCCAAACTGCACTAGACTAAAGCCATATCACAAGTGTGAGTTAATATATTATCCATCTTTCTCATACCAGAAAGTGGAAAAGTCTGACCATTGCAAAACCTCAAAGTAACAATTTGGGGGCATTCTCATACCAGATCATAAAATTAGTAGGGTGTCTTACAATGTGTAAATCATGGCAAAAATTTTGATAAAACTATCAGTTACCATCATTTGACCATATAAGTCCTCATTGAGCCATGAAGCGTCAGAGCCAAGTAGCTTAGAGAATGCTTTTCATCACATATCCTTAATTTAGTCCTATACGTGTATATTTGGCATGGCATTGGTCCTATGTTTGAACATTTGGTATGGCATTGGTCTTATATTTTGACATTTGGTATGACTTTCAGGTATCATTTTGGCTGGTATGAGAACACATTAGAATTTGACTTGACTAGATTGCTATGGGTACATACTAATGCGTATCAACCTAGAACCCCCGCCTAAATTTGTA